ATATATATATATATATATATATATATATATATATATATATATATATATATATATATATATATTTCTAATTTCAAGAGTCAAACAAATTTATTTATTTTTTTATATTTATCGAATGCCTTTAAATATTTTAAATTATTAATTATTGTAATTTATTCTAGTATTTTTAACGTAGTTTTTCAATATGTAAAATTTATTCGTAAAAGGGTCAAAATTATTCTGTCGTTTCGTAAATGATTTAGAATTACTATCCGTACACCTTTTGGTCCAAAAATACACCCATTGTTATTTCTATCGCTAACCCCCCTTCCCCCCCCCCTCCCAATTTTATAGCAGCAGATATGGGATCCACTTTTAATGAGCTGACAACATTTTATTGGGCCACGTGAGTTCTGGTTTTACTTCATATATATATATAGAGTAAATAATCCGCCCCATTTATTTGATCTGCCCCATATTTTTTTTCTTTCTTTTCTTCCTTGTCACCCAACACATGCACTCCCCCCAACAATACCCCCCCCCCCATCCACCCACCATGACCCCCACCTCATTCTTTTCCCTATTTTATAAAAAATTTATTTTCATGTCCAAATTCACTGTCAATATTAAAAAGTTTGACTCTTAAATTTAAACCGTGCCAGATAAATAGGGACAATAGTAGTAGCAATATATGCGATAAGTTAGTAAATTTTAAATACAAATAATGCATTAATTAGTAAACGTTAATCCATGATTTTAAAAGTGTAACTGAGTTCAGCAATAAAAGTTTAGATATTTTAACCCATCAAATTTTAATTCTAGACCCCTTTTTGTACAATAAAGGAGTAAAGTTATAACGGTATATATAATTTAAATTACTCTCATTCTTGTAGTAGCTTTCTGTGTTAGTAATTGAAAATATATAAGTACTGAAAAGGTTTTGAAGTACACTAACCTTGGAGTAGGGAGGCGTTGAGCAGAGTGGGAACCCCATAGCTGTTGCAGGATTTACAATAAACAAGGCCATTGACGATTGGGGGCTTCCCCACAGGTGGAAGCGGCTTAACTACTGGTGGTGCTGGTCGACGGGGAATAAGGGGTGGATTCGCTGTTGGTGATGGAAATGGTGCTATAATAGGTGGCTCAGCAGCCGGTGACGGAGATGGCGCCATTACTGGTGGATAAGCAACTGGTGGCGGAGGAGGTGGCGGAGGCGATTTCTTAGCACGTGGTGGTGGGGGCGGTGGCGGTTGCTTTGTAGGTGGCTGAGTAGCTGGTGATGGAGATGGTGCCCGAGGAGGTGGTGGTGATTGCTTTGCTGGAGATGGAGATGGTGCCTTAACTGGCGGTGGAGGGGGTGGTGGTTGCTTTGCTAGAGATGGAGATGGTGCCTTAACTGGTGGTGGAGGAGGTGGTTGTTTTGCTGGCGGAGGTTGTGGTGGTTGCTTTGCAGACTGATCAGGTGGTGATGGCTTACATGGTGAAGGTGGTGGTGGTGGCGGCTTAACTGGGGGTGATGGTGCCGACGGCTTTGGCCGGTTAACAGGTGGACCACCACCTATGGGAGGCACATCAGGTAAGTTGGGAATCAGAGGCAAAAGGCCAGGAAGCTTAGAGCCGGGCAAAGGAGGCAAAAGGCCGCCGGTTAAAGGAGGAATAAGTGGTATTAATGTCGACGGAGGAGGTGGTGATGGAGATGGCGGAGGTGGTGATGGCGATGGCGGAGGTGGTGATGGTGGTGGTGATGGTGGTGATGGTGGCGGTAGCACGAATGTAGGCCCATCGTAATCAGGCAATGGGATCTCCACTGGTGGCAAGTCGAAAGGCAATGGGAGTTCCAGCCACAGCTCCCCATGGCTGAGCTTTGAGAATGAGCCAAGTACTAGAACGAAAAGTTGTATAAGTAGGACCTTCGATGAAATAATAACAGCCATAGTTGTTAACTGGATTAATCCACCTGCGTTGAAGGAAGTTTAAAGGGAATGAATTTATAAAAGCTAGGCAATAGAAGTTTATTTGATTGGAATATTAAGAAAAGAAATGAAAAACTGAAACCATATACAAAATTATAACAAGCCCTCTCAATAATTTGACTATCAAAAGACGTAGATTTGTGAAAGAATATTAATTATGAAGGATTTGTGATGATTTTATGACAAAATTCGTCAATTTGCGATGAATTTAAGTCTGTTTTATGACTCCATCACAATTCTTTTGGGATGATCGAATTTGTGAATTTTTTTGGACCAATTCTCCGTCACGATATTGCTTTTTCTTACTGTATACTTTCTTCGATCACTACTAGAAATTCGGTAATTAGCGACAAAAAAACCGACCAACTTTGATCGGTTATGGCCAATTACCGACCAAAATGCAACAAAATACGCTTGGACGGTATTTGGTGGTCGCTTTAGTATACCGACCAATGTTGGTCGGTAATTAAATGTTGCCAAAAAGAACCGACCAAAGTTGGTCGGTATTTTAATTATGTAATCAAAAGATTCACCGTCTGGGAATCGAAGCGGAGCGTGTATTGTGGCAGGATATTATTCTACCACTAGACCATTGGTGCATTTTGTTTTAAGATTGTCTTATTTATTTATTTATTTATTTATACTATTTAATTGTATTTTCGCACGAATAACCGACCAAAGTTGGTCCGTTTTATTAAAAAATAAAATTACCGATCAAAGTTGTTTTGTGAAATGATCGGCGGAATTTACCGACCAAAGTTGGTCGGTTTTTATATTAATTTTTATTTATTTTAATTGCATTGATTTTTGGCCGGTTTTTTTACCGACCAAAGTTGATCGATTTTTGCCGAATTTCTATTAGTGGATCCACTTTAATTAATTTTTTGGCTTTTTTTTTGTCCATAATATTTAATTTTTTTAGATATGAACAAAGAATTTGTTATATTTCCAATGAGTGGAAATAATCTCCTCTCCAATGAACCTAATATCATGTTTGGCCAAGCGGCAAAAATCAGTTTAAAAGTGCTTTTGGAGAAAAAATATTTTTTTCTGCTTCTCCAAAACTGCTTCTATTTCTCCTCAAGCGTATTTCTTTTTCCTTCTAAAAGCTTGGTCAAACACTTCAACTTCAAAAAAAAAAAAAAATACTTTTAAAAAAGAAGTGATTATTGAATTGAAGAAACTTGGCCAAACAGTTAAAGTTGCTTCTTAAAAGTGGCTTAAACGGTTAATCTCCTCTAACGCTGTTTTTAATAGGGGAAGAGCGGAAGGTCAAGTTAGGCTGTCAACCTAGATCAATTTTTCTTCGCAAAAGAGAAATCAGTAATTAATTACTGTCTTGTTTGCATTTTGCACCCTTATGTCTGTAATATTTTTTATTTACACATATCCTTTACTTTGTACTATATGATTCTTCAAAGTTATGCATTTTCTTGCAAAATATTCAACAAAGCCATTTTATCAGGAGCAAAAAAAATTATGCTATTAAAACTTGGGGGATTCTTTGCACTATTTTGGTCTTCCGGACTCTCTGTTTTGTCATCTTAAAAAATATTTTTATTACTGTTTAGTTTAGTTTATAATATTCCCTTTATTCACCATAGGAGAAATTAAATTTGATCAAACATTAGGCATGGCCATGATCAGCATGGCCTTTCGTTCCAGAAGCCATGTGGTGAGAGTTTTTCAGTTGGCAGAAAATTGATCGAACATGAGACATGGGATTGTTTTTCTTTTCTCGTTTTGTTTATTCTTAAAAGAGACATACTAATTTCTCATGAATTTTAATTGACATTACTTTACTTAGAATATTACTGTACTAGTAAGCGCTCATTACAATTGATACCCTAATCTTAGATGTAGTAGGATTTTTTTTGAACGGAAAGGGTCCATACTATGATTTATTTTTTTTACATATTATCTCGTTATAATTTGGGTTCAAGTATATATCTGTTGTGATATTATTAGTTCAAATAATATACCCCTCTTTTCTTAAGTTTGTTCAAGGTGGACATTCAATCCTACGTGGCACTGACAATTGATGAGGTGGATGCCATGTGGCATCATCTCATAGCCCCTAATCCATTTTACTACTTCCCCCTATTTGTTTTTCCTCCATTAAAATTTTCTTCCACTTCACTGTTATTTATCTGTATTGCTGTAAATAAATAAAACAGTAATCTTTCTGAAAAATAAAACAGAAAGTTAGTAGAAACAATTCTGAAAAATAATATTCGAACTTCAAAATAATTTTTGAAACGTTGAAGGAACAAATCGAGCCTACTGAATACACAGTGTGTCCTTAAGGAAATTATTCCCCTCAAGTACCCGAGGTTATGGAATATATCCTCCCAGGATAGAACGATTTAACTCACCAGTGTATCGGTACCTAAAACTCTGGTGATCGGCGAACCACTCGATGGTCGTAAAACACACTGGAATATTTTGTGCAGAAGAAGAAGAAGAAGAAGAAGAAGATTCAGAAAAATTTCGTAAGTAAATATTCTGGGATTTGAAGGTCTATTTATAGCCAACTTGGTGATGTTTCTGAAGAGGTTTGCAACATTTCAGAATAGTCATGACTATTGGAACAGGTGTGACCCTCTGAAGAGGTTTGCAACCTTTCAGAACGGTCATGGCTGTTGGAACAGGTGTGACCCTCTGAAGAGGTTTGCAACTTTTCAAATAGTCATGGCTGTTGGAACAGGTGTGACACTGTTTCAGAACAGCCATGGCTGTTGGAAATTTTTGCGGGAAATTTAAAACGAATTTAAATTAATCCGGGAAAGAAAAACGGGCTAGACCAGACCGGGTCGCGGGTCATCCCTCCATTTCTTTTCCCACCATTTTCCATTCACACCTCTTTTGTTATTAATTATTAAATAACAAACCCAAAAATCCCCCACATGAATGGGGAATGGCTATAAACTTAAAGGAATGCACGGACATGTGTGTGTTTTACAAACAAGAATCGATTGCATCTGGATAAGTGGGTTTCCCTTTGAACTTTCCGTAGTGAACTTATATCGGATATACTCGGTCAATCGGTAGATTTGATATCTTTGAACCGTCGAGCTTTGTTGTATACCTAGACAACATATATCACACAATCAATCCTTAACCATCTATGGTTCTCACGGTTGTGTTCGTTTCAGCCATGAACACCGCCTGGTTTCATGAGTGCTTAGAGAATGAGTCTTTACTTTCATTCTCCTTGAAGCGGCTTACACTTCACACTCACATAGGTGATTCCTAAACGTGTAATCCTAAAGACACACTATCTGGTCATATCCTGCCAGACTTAGCAAATCATTAAAAAGCTTTAAGCTTTATTGACTCATCAAAAAAGCCTTAATGCTTTACCTCGTTTTTGAACATTGTCTTCATCATTGTTATATATCTGTATTGCTGTAAATAAATTAAATAATAATCTTTCTGAAAAAATAAAACAGAAAGTTAGTAGAAACAATTCTGAAAAATAATATTCGTACATCAAAATAATTTTTGAAACGTTGAAGGAACAAATCGAGCCCACTAAATACACAGTGTGTCCTTAAGGAAATTATTCCCCTCAAGTACCCGAGGTTATGGAATATATCCTCCCAGGATAGAACGATTTAACTCACCAGTGTATCGGTACCTAAAACTCTGGTGATCGGCGAACCACTCGATGGTCGTAAAACACACTGGAATATTTTGTGCAGAAGAAGAAGAAGAAGAAGATTCAGAAAAATTTCGTAAGTAAATATTCTGGGATTTGAAGGTCTATTTGTAGCCAACTTGGTGATGTTTCTGAAGAAGTTTGCAACCTTTCAGAATAGTCATGACTGTTGGAACAGGTGTGACCCTCTGAAGAGGTTTGCAACCTTTCAGAACAGTCATGGCTGTTGGAACTGGTGTGACCCTCTGAAGAGGTTTGCAACTTTTCAGAATAGTCATGACTGTTGGAACAGGTGTGACACTGTTTCAGAACAGCCATGGCTGTTGGAAATTTTTGCGAAAAATTTAAAACGAATTTAAATTAATCCGGGAAAGAAAAACGGGCTAGACCGGACCGGGTCGCGGGTCATCCCTCCATTTCTTTTCCCACCATTTTCCATTCACACCTCTTTTGTTATTAATTATTAAATAACAAACCCAACATTCACTACCATAACCACCACCATGAACAATATTGAATTTCCAGCTAGTCAACTCAAACCAAATCTGAGTATTTGAACAATATGAGACTGAATGTTGGCCCTCTGTATATGCTTTGAGCACTTGGGTCTGCAAAACAAATACTTCAATTCGTCACACAATATCATGCACGCTAATAGTACATAAAGAGATTATCTAGTTTCTTGCGGAAGAGAACTTCACCTGTAATTCGAGAAGCTTCTGATTGTATTGAATCCAATGCGAGCGATGAGTGAAGAAACAAACATATAAACGACTAAATTTTGAAATACAATATTGTTCATGGTGACGGTAATAGGGACAATAGTGGTGGAGGGGAAGAAAATTTTTGTTGTGAAAAAATAGAAAGGATGGGTAAAGGGTTAGGGTAGAGGTGAGGTGGCATTCCTGATTCCACGTAGCATCTAACTTATCAAATGTCAGTACCATATAAGATTGGATGTCCACCTTGGACAAACTTAACAGAAGAGTGGTATATTTAAACCAATTTTATAACGACAAAGATACATTTGAAATCAAAATATAACGAGAGATATATTTAAATCTTTTCTCATTATACATGGATATATTTAGACCTTTTCCATTTTTTGAATTTCTTCAAGCTAGGCAGTTGCGGTACCATTTCATCCTAAACATACAGAAGAAAATTATCTAAAGATAAGAGGAACATACTGTTTTCTTGAGAATGTACAATTTAATTAGTTAATATTAATATTTTTATTTTTCATCCAATCAATAGAAAATTTTATTCTACGTAAAAAATCAAAGAAAACAATAACAATAATCAAATGTTATTGACACAAAAGACAACCATCACTTTTATTACTCCCTCCATCCCAAGTTAGTAGTATCATGTTTCGCTTCCGAGAAGCAAACTACGTAGACTTTGACCAACATTTTAATATGTATTTTTTTTATCATATTGAAATGAGATAAATTACAAATTATTACGTAGTACTTTTCGTATATTTTTTGGATATAAAATTTTGATTATAAAATATTGAGTTGATCTAATCCAATTTAGCTTCCAATACTAGTCAAATTAGCCATCGAAAAGCGAAACAATGACAACTAATTTTTGGACGGGACGATACTATGTTATCTTGAATATTTCATTTTTGTATAAATATTGGAGGTCCGACAGATGATTTTGGTAACAATTGATATGTTTATGCCTTCTAAAAATGTTGAATAAATTAATGAGACCAATTAAGTTTTGCACTCATAAAAATAGTGATAAGGAGGTCATATGCAATGCATGCTATTATTCGAATAGATGCATGATCGAAATATGTGATGAAAATTAATAGATAAATTAAAGATACTCCATATTTGTAGAGATTGAGCAATTTCAAACTGTTGCTTGTAAATTTTTTATGTAAAGACGTAGTGGAAGAGTTGGAGCTTAGAAGGTGTTAAATGCCTAGCAAAGAATGATTTGGACCGCAAATGTTCATGAAATTTTTTGTGATGAAGGATTGCAATGAGATTTGAACACGCATTCTTTGATATAAGGTTATTTGTGTGATTGTCTTATTCAAAAGTTTAAATTGTACTGTCTTAAATAAGACACGCTTATATATATTTATAAATTATATGTTCTTAGCATAGAATATGAATATAAAATTTAATCTTAAACAATGTATTCTTTTCATCCACTAATTCCTCTAACAAGTCTGATTATCTCCGGCCCTTTCGATGTTGTTTATGTATTTTGTCTTGTGATTAATTAGGAAAGCAAAGGTAGGAAAATGATATTTAGAGATTCAAATTCTAGAAACACTCACATATTTGTAGTAAAGGACTAGTACTTTCTTTTTATTTTCGTAAGTCTTAATTTTGGACTTACAATAGAAAATGCACATCCGATTTTTATTTTAACAACGGACATTTTCTTTCTCAATCATTTAATAAAGTTGTTACTCCTTCCTTTCTTATTATTGTTTTCCATAGTAATTAATGAAGGCCAGGAATAACCATATTTCCAGCGAGACGAGCTGAGGGTCGCAACAGCATATCTGGTGGTATCGGTGCCGCAGCCGGTGATGGAGATGGTGCCATAGCTCGTGGAGAAGGCGGTGGTGGTGACGGCAACGGTGGTGGTGGTGACGGTGATGGAGGTGGTGGAGAAGGTGATGGAGGTGGTGGAGAAGGTGGTGGTGGTGACTTCACTGGTGGTGGTGGCGACGGCTGTTGCCGCTTAGGTGGAGGGCTACGGGAAGGGCTACTTTTAGGAGAATTTTTTGGAGATTTCCCAAAGGAAGGCCACTTAAACTTAAAACGCTGAAGAGTTGCATCAGGCAAACTTTCAATGCCATGATCTCCATTAGTGAGCTCTGAAAATGAGCTAATTACTAAAATAGAAAGTTGTAAAAGCAGTAGGGCCTTCACTGAAATAACAGCCATACTTTTTATTTAAACTCAAATGTGCATAAAAGAATGCCAAAGGCGATAGGATTTATAGGAGCGGGAAATAGGATATTGTGAAGTTTTCGATCGGTGAAAAAATATGTGCTCTCTTTTTTACCCTTCTTTACTTAGTTTAATTAAGGTTTTTGTTCGCAACGAGGTAGGTAATTAGGAGAAAACGTTTTACTTCCAAATTAAGACAAACAATTAAATAGGTTAAGTGTTTCCTTAAATAGAACTCATTTGCAGTAGATGAAATAGTTTTAGCCTATAATACAAACATACGAAAAGACATCACATTTTATGAATAATTCCACAAAGACGACGCAAATTATATACAAATAATAACAGACATTCTTGTAAGATTACCGCAGTCATAGCAGAGATTAAGACACATTGTGGAATCAATCTAGAGTCAATGTTTAAAAAAGCGTACCGTTAAATTACTCCATGGATAAAACAGCGATAGCGAACGGCGATTAAGCTTGAGACCAACTTCCACGATTCACTAGCTACTCGCTCTCACAGCCCGGAAAACTTGACTGATGGAACGTCTACCGTTACCACGTATTCAAGAGGCAGAATACGCTAGGGTTTTTGTCACGACCCAAAACCCCGCACTAGTCGTGATGGCGCCTCTCGTGAAGACAAGGCCAGCCAACTAACCCAATTGGTCCCTTTCAAAGTAGTTAAACATAAATGAATAGCAAAAATACGACTTAAGGACATTAATTGACAAAGTTTACAACCCAACACAGCCCGACCGGGGTGTCACAAGTCACGAGCATTTAGGGAAGTCTAAATACAACTACAGGGCCAACAATATACAGAATAAAATTTAGAACCAAAGGAAGTAATCCGGTGCCGCGAACGCTGGCGGTCCCCCTGCTCAGCTACGATAGCAATACCTTCAACCAGCTCAAAACCCGCTACCGGGTGAACAATACATGCATCTGCACGCGAGGTGCAGGGAGTAAAGTGAGTACTCCAACTCAGTGAGTAATAAAAGTAAATAATAACTGAGCAGCAAGAAATCACGTAAAGCAAGCCATCATGCTATATAGGGGCAGTGTAACCTTTTGAGAAAAACAGTGAAACCGTGAAATCTTTAGAAATATCTTGGCTCAGTTTAAAACCTCTTTTGAAAATGTCTTTTTCCAACAGTCAAGCAAATGAATGCGAAACAAGTAGTGCAAGCCAGCACAAAAGTCAGCCCCTCGGGCACAATACTCCGTCAACAAATAGCACCAAGATATCAGGTAATTAGTGCAAGAAGTAGCATGGAAGCCAATGAAATGGGAGTGCTGAAATGTCATGACAAGTAATACAAATAGGAACAAATGCATGAGTGCAATGCAATGCATATGACGGTACGCTCTGGTACCCACTGCGGCGTGCAGCCCGAGCCATCCATATATTTAACGTCAACGGCGCTCACTGGGGGTGTGTACAGACTCCGGAGGGGCTCCTACAGCCCGAGCGCAATATCAAGCCATCTCGTGGCATCAACCAGGCCCACGGCCTCAATATCAATATAACCATCCAGGTCCTCGGCCTCAAGATCAATGTAATCAACCAGGCTCTCGGCCTCAATATCAATATAACACTGCTGCGGCGCGCAGCCCGATCCATGCTCGGTCCAGAAATGCACATAAGCCACTTGGGCAATATTAAAATAAGAGTTCTCAGCTCAAAACGTCAATAAAATATTGTTTAAGTTTTCAAATCTTAGAAAGATGGCTGAGTTTGCGAAACAGTATTTAAAACCTTGGACCGAGATCAAATAATATGCAAAAGTGATGCGAAAACGGTGATATCAATCCCTGAAGGATTCAAATAATTGGCACGAAGCCCAAATACGGCAATCAGCCCAAATCATGAAAATATCAAATAAGTTTCAGTAAATTACGCGGTAAAACCAACAACCGGGACGGACCAAGTCACAATCCCCAGCGGTGCTCTACCCCACGCTCATTATCCGGCGTGCAAGTCACCTCAATACAGCATCATGATGTACAAATCCGGGGTTTCAAACCCTCAGGATATCATTTGCAATCATTACTCACCTCGAACCGGCGAAATCTCTAGCTCACGACGCCTTTGCCCCTCAAATCGGCCTCCACGCGTGTCGAATCTATCCAAAATCAGAGCGAATACATCACAATATGCCAATGGAACAATACCCAATCGAAAATAATTGGAAAGTAGCAAGAATCTTGAGATTAGCAAAACCCGAGCCTCGGACCCACTCCTCGAAAAATCAGAAAATTAACATCAATGGATTCCTTACCTCTCCACTAGTCCATACATATCAAATTTACCAAAATCCGAGCTCCAATGCTCCCTCAAACTCCAAATTTCCATTTCAAAAGTCAGCCCTAGTTCTTCCATTTTTAATCAAATTTCCATGAATTTAGGTGTTGATTCTTCAATAAAATGATGATTCTAGGTCACGAGACTCACCTCCAATCAATTCCTGTCGAAACCCTCCTTAATCCTCGTCAAAAAGCTCCAAAGGTTGCTCAACAATGGTGAAAATAAGATCTAACTCGCGGAGGAAATAATATAAATCTGCCCAGCTCTTTTCGCTTTTGCGGTCCCTTTCCCGCTTATGCGGGACCGCTTCCGCGACTTTTCTTCCGCTTCTGCAGAAATTCCAAACTCGAGCTCAACCGCTTCTGCGGTTACACAAACGCATAAGCGATACCGCTTCTGCGGTTAGACAATCGCTTCTGCGGAACCGGCGCCCAGGCCTCCTCACCGCTTCTGCGGTCAATCCTTCGCACAAGCGTGTCCGCTTCTGCGGTCCAAGATTCGCAGAAGCAAAAATACCAGCTGCAGCAGGCTCAGCAACATGAAAAATTCCAGAACTCTCCGTTTAACCATCCGAACTCACCCCGAGGCCCCCGGGACCTCAACCAAAAACACCAACATATCTTAAAACATCACCCAAACTTGTTCCAATCATCAAAACACCACGATTAACACTAAAACCATCAAATTACATCAAATCCAAGCCTAAGTTCTCCCAAAATTCTTCCGAAACTCGCATTCGATCAAAAACCCAACCAAACCACCTCCGAATCATCTGAAATTTTGCACACACATTCCAAATTACCTAACGAAGCTACTGCAACTCTCGGAATTCCATTCCGATCCTCGGATCAAAATCTCACCTATCAACCGGAATTCGCCAAAACACTAACTTTGCCAATTCAAGCCTAATTCTACACCGGACCTCCAAAATCAATTCCGATCACACTCCTAAGTCTCAAATCATCCCCCGAAGCTAACCGAATCACCGGAAATCACATCCGAGCCCTATAACTCATAAGTCAACCTTTCCAAACCAAGCCTTCCTTAAAGAGACTAAGTGTCTCATTTTCTACCAAAATCAATCCAAATCGACTCTAACACCAAATACTGATAATGAAACATGAAGAGGCATAAAATGGGGGAAACGGAGCGGTAACTCATGAGATGACGGGTCGGGTCGTCACATCCTCCCCAACTTAAACAAACGCTCGTCCTCGAGCGTACCCAGAATTGTCCTAAAAGCCAACCAATAGCTGAATAACCTTACCAAGCATATACCCCGGGTGATCCCACGTCACCCTATCTCATATAGGCCGATAACACATTTAAACCGAAATTACACAATCCAGTCTAGCCCATAACCATAGAACCACATTGCACTTTCCGAAATCACACACAAGGTCAGAACCCCACATCCATACTCAGAATAAGCCCGAACCAGCTGTAATAACCCATACCTGCAACCTCAGGTGCAATCGCATGATATACCACATAACCCAAACACTCGAAACGATAACTTCTATTCGCAGCAGTTGCCCACAACACCCGAATACCGATGGAAAAACCCCTTATTGGTTAAAGTCTTATTCCAACACTTTCATATACTGCCAACGATAAATGAGACACGCAGCAAACCGTAACCATTTCTCAAATCAACCACTCATGAAGCCACTTCCCTTTTGACTAATACCACAACAGATTTCCGAGCCGAACCTCGATATTATCCTTCCAACAAGCTGAAATCAAATCTGTTCATATTCATTAATGACCCCAACGATCACCTCGACTCCAACACACCACTCTGGTGATATGACACCTCAATACAGGCCTAAGCCACACTTGCATAATACGCGCACCAATAAGAAATAATCTGAATATACCCAAATCATGAAAATGACTCAAACAAAAGAGCTGTACCTCAAGCTCATCAGTACCATCACCACACAAGGCTGAGACCCCGTCTCACATCATAGAAATAGAACACCTGAATCTACCCCGAAAAGTCATATCTCCACGTGGCCTCACCATAATGCGCGACCCTATCCAAACACTGTTACACACGAAACACCTCAAGTCTCTATGCTCAAAATCGACAGCCACACACAATTTGATGTCTGAAACCAAAGCAATTCATTACACCCACGGCGAAACAAATAACATACGCCACGCAACCCGATAGGTCATAACTAATACTCCATCTACCGAGCAACACCCAATTACTCTTCCCGCTCGACCTTCTCTATAAACCCCAATAAAACCGCACCACATGTGCCCGTAACCAACAAATCATAACGTCTCACAACACCGAAAAGCAACTCATAGGCCTCCTCAGATCACTAAGAAGCTCAATAACGATCGAATCAACCTATCCCTCAACAATACAATTCGGGGTCAACCAAGCCAACTCAAGCTAAACACGTATCCGCGTCGGCCTACTAATGAACTCATTGCCAAGAAAGCCTGAAGCTGCTCCTTCCACTACTATAACTCCTGCCGAAGCCGTACGATACGGTGCCCGGCACCAAATCAATATCGAAATCCACAACCTCGCCCGGCGACATGCCCGGCCACAAGAAACGCATCCGAAAAGTCCCTCAACACCGGAACTGAACCAATGGTAGAAACCTCTGCACTAACTTCCATCACGAAGGCCCAATTACGAAAAGCAGTCCTTCCCAGCCATCCGCTGGTCTTTAGAATACAAACCCCTCTGCTAGAAC